AATCTGAATAAATCCATTAGATGCCATTTTCAAGGCAATCTATTAATATTGATCCATTCAGTTTAAACTCCATTTTTCAAAGAGACCATGAATCTGAATTTATCAGACTAAATTCAACCTCTTTACTACCATTGCCAATAAGGAAATCCATAGTAAACATCAATGTAGAATTCAGTAATCAAAAATAGATTTTTTTAATTGTTGCAATGCTACTAATGCCTGAAGATACTTAATGTCCGTTTGGCAAAATTTTTAGAATTTGATTATTTTCTCTACATGTAGGAATAAAGAAACTGCAAGTGTACAAACAACTTACAATACCTGGCAATGTTTTTTAATTAATAATTATGACTTAGGAATATGAATGAACAAATGGTAATAAGTCATTTGAAAGCTCCTCGCTGTACTCTATTTACCCCATTACTAAGTACACAATGACTACTGCTTTCCTTGAAATGCATGGTGCTAATCTGTACCTCACTTTTCTCACAAACAACTTTAGCTGGAATTTGTACAATAAAAGTAACTTTCACAGGATACCAAAAGTATGACCTGTAAGTCACATTTACGCACCTAGTTCTGGAAACTAACACAGCCTCAATGACTCGAGCTCCTCTTTTAATATTTGGCTCTGATGACTTTTGCATACCTTCATGGGAATTTAAATCATACAACATTTCCACTTTAAAAAAGCTGAAGAACAGCATTCAGACAGTAACAGATACTGACCCCCTCCTTTCTACTAAGGATGATGATTACATAAATACCAGAGACATGTCCATCCTGTCACAGTACAGTCACTCCTTACTCTGATTCAGAAACAATACGGAATATCTTTTTTCTTTTTAAATAAATCAAATCATCTAAAATTCATGGGCTTTTAGTCTTAAGTGAATGTCTGAACAAAAATGTCAATTAAAAATGTATCAGAAGTTACAAAATTACAAAATGCACTCTTAATTCATGCTTTTTACTATAAATAATACATGGAAAAATAATAAATGAAAATGAAGCATAGTTTAAACTTTAAGTTTTATCTGCTTTATATCTGGTTGGGTTTTAACAAGCTCTCCACGTTATCCTCATCCATTGACATAATACAGTTCCGAGGATATTTAAACTCATGAAAACATGATGGCATTTCTTTTGGCTGGAAAATTTACAAAAGACTGCGTGCAAAAATTTAGCTATCTTAGCATGCAGTGAGGCACAAAAGGAGTAGACATGTAGACAGTACAAGTTGTGCTTTTTTTTTTTAATATACTTTCAAGCAGTCCTTTCACTCCAAAAAACAGAGCACCACTAGTGGTTGGAGAACATTAGACAAGTTCATCTTCCAGCTAAACTTCACCCAAGAGATTCAGTGCATGCACTCCAGGATTGCTGGGCAATATAAGTGAAACTAAATGGGAATAATCAGGAGACACTCAAATAGCATGCTATTGCTATGAACTTAGAGGCTAACACAGATGCCTCCCTTCTTGCAGGTTCACTTCAAGCAAATGAATGAGAAATAGAAGAGCTAGGAAAGAGGTGTTACCTTGAGAAAATTAACACATTTTGTGTGCAATCCCTTATGCAGCAATTCTGTAAAAAAGCTATGTAATTAAAACAGACTAGATGGCTGCTACCTCTAAGTGATAAATATACATCCATTAGAAAGGAAGATCAAATTCAGTCTTGGGTGAGAAGAATTTGAAGAGCAGGCCCCAGAATAGGACTAGTTTATATGCCCTGGTTTTCTAACTTTTGTGCTTCTCCCTTTCCAGAGCAAGGAACCGAGCAAGCAACTGTGTGGTGTTCAGCTGCCTATGAGGCTGAAGTCAGGAATATTGATTAATCCATCTATTTAATCAAAGCATAACAAAATAGCTACATTCTTGATTAGAGAGCTGATATCATTTCTCATATTTTGGGGTTTTCTGTGGACTTTTACAAGTATACAGCATAAAGTATACAAAAAAGTATACAAAAAGTATACCAAAAAAAAAAAAAAAAAAACCCTCAAAGAAAATGAAAGCTGAATTCCTAATTATTTAGAAGGCATAGCCAAGGTCATTTGAACACAAAACAGACAAAGATTCCATGTAGGAAAATTAAAGAATCCTTATTTCACAAAATGAAATTTAGCTAAGCCAGACCTTCCTATTTGTTCAGGATCCCACTCACTGCTCAGTCTCATTGCGCACCTTCAACAGTGGTAATAAAGTTAGCAATGGGAGCAGGCTGTAAATATGAAAACTAAAAGCTTCTCACACTGGACTACTTCACTCTGCCAGCCCTTTCACTAGAGGCTACATGAAGGTCTTGGCTGCTAGAATTCACATTTTCGTACTGGAAAATATTTATAATAATTCTTACTTTTCCAGGGGTGCAGATCAGCACTAGTTCCAACTTCAGGGATGTTTGCCATGTGCACTCTAAACAGAGAAAGATGAAGAACTGGAACCAAGACCTAGAGTTATTCTGCTTTCTCAAGAGGAGAAGCTATTCTCTCACTTGGCAAAATATTCTTCTATTAATAGATAAAGAAGACAAGCAAAATCTCTTATTTTATGTATGTGCTTTAGAATCACAGCATCACAGCTCCATATTTACTGTTACAATTCCCAATAGCGATTGCAGGTTATGAATAAGGCAGCTCACTTGACTCCTGAGACAAATAATGGGCTCTGTCTAACAGCATTTCTAAGATTTCATTTCAGTAGTTTTGCCAGTGGTTTCTTATAGTCAGGCATAGCCTTCAAGCAAGTTTGTCACAGATCGACTTTTGATATAAGAGGCTGTGCTATGAATCATTTTAAAAGGTTAATGGTAGTTAACAACTCTTATTACTTTCCATCTGACATTTTGAATTTCATTCATGGAAAACTTCTGTGTTTTTTTCAATGTTCCATGTGAATTTTTTAAGAAGTTATATTTCTTAAGACGCCACTTAATTATCTCATCTTCACTTTGACTAATGCAGATAGAGGACAAGCACTGCTAAAATCCAAATGGCTTTCTATCTTTCTCTACTGATTTTATCTGTTTAATTTTCTTAGTATTTTTGGAGAAATACTAGAAGTTTGAAGTGAGAAATATCAATAAAATTAATACCTTATCACACTCTTCATCTTGGAAGAGAGGTAAGTTAGAAAGAATATTACAGAAGTCTACAAAATCACGAGTAGCATGAAGAGAGTGGATAGGGTCTAACTATTCTCTGGCTGCTGTATTTCAATAACCAGGGGGCATCAAATTAAAATAAAAGACATGTCTAAAAATAAAATTGATGATTCATTCACAATGCTCAGTAAGCCCTTCAAAGTCAAGGCAAAGGACATTATTAATGCAATGGAAAGACTGAACAGAAAACTCTTAACAGCTACAAAGTTACAACACTATATGTACATACTCCAGCTAGTTTTCCATGCTTCTGATGTATTTCTTTTGATTTCCTTCCAGTATTCAGCACAATTCTTAACACATGAAAACCAGACCTTCAAATAATATTTCAGTAATAGTAGCACAAACACTATTTGCTATCTGCTTGTATTTGACCAGTTTTTAGTACTCATAGACTGTATTAGTTCTTTACGTAAATTAACTAAAATAATCCCAGGCTCTTTAAAGACAGAAAGCACTCCCATTCCAAAACAAATTGCCTGGCATACAACCAGTCAATTCAGACCATTCTGTAACAGTAACCATGTGTACTATAAGTCAAGAATCTTTCTGTCATCTTAAAAAAAATCTTTCTGTCCACCTTCATCAGTGTGGTTTTTGTTTTTTTTTTTTCACAAGATTTCCCTCAGAGTTCTGAAGAAGGGGTATATCTACTTCTTTTTTTGTCTTCATTTTCACTAGGAAGGAATTTTCCCCATTTTCACTAGGAAGGAATTTTCCCTATTCAAATCAATAATTTAATTACCCCATACATTGTAAAAATTTGTTGGATTTTACTGTAAGTGACTTTTACAAGTTTTCATACTGAATTATATTCAAAATTATGAGGCAGAGATAAAATGCCCCTTGACAAGATGTTATAAAATACAATCAATTATATAATTTGAATCTAGCTTTTCCTCTTACCATTTCCTTACAGTACTTTCAGAGCAGAAAATGATACAAGACAAGGCATGGTGCCGCAGGACAAAAATCTACTTCATTTTTTCCAAAGTCTCAAATTGCAAACTATTTCATTCTAGCTTTTGTGTTTACTTTCTTTTGTATTTTTCTCCACATAAACAGACTTTGTCACACAAAATCAAGTGAGGAGACTTTTTTCCCTCCCCAGCATCTATCACTGGAAGAGGTAATCCCTTAGTACTTGCATCACTACTAGTCAGTATTTCTTCTCTGTCTACAATTCATGCAGAAAGCAGGGCTACTAGGTAATAAAGTAAACAACCATTTAAAGAATATAATTAAAATACTAGCTCTGAAAATCAAGAGAGATTTTATCTTTATACACCTGACTGCTTTAAAACATATGATTTATTTAATGTTATGTTAACATTATGCAGTCGTTTTTCTAAAATTCCTAACATAATTTAATTACTTTATTGAGAGTGAAGGTATATGTTTATCTAGTAATACAGATATGATTAAGTACATTCCAACAATTAATGAAATCCAAATGACAAAACAATTTTGCATGTGTAAGGAGGAAGGTACCAAAAGAGACTTACCCTACTGTGGTCAATATGTAAACTGCTTGAAATATTTATGGATTTCAAATTCATCTAATATCTAAAACTAAATGTAGATTACAGCAGAAGAATACAATTATTTAAATAGGGTAAAGTAACCATTTTTTTTCAAGCATCCATTTGAGTTCATATCACTGAGCTTATGTGAGGTCTTACAGTAAGTACTGAGTTTTATTATGCAAAAACCAGGTGGTCACCTAATAAAACCAATAAATCTTCTGTGGTAGCAGCCAGAACAATAGTAAAATTATGTTTTCTCCTAATGCAATAGAAAAAAAATTAAACAAACATTTAGAGTAATCTTACCAGAGCTCTGCATTTCACATCTATCTTCCTTTCAGGTGCTGCAGGTATGCTGTTAATCTTTAAGGAAAACCACACTTTGCAATTTGAAGAACTTCCTCCTACGTACAAAAGAATAAAAGGTTCCATAAATCATCTCACGAGGTGATCACTCCTAGCAGCATTCAAATCAATGAGAAATTCTGGCTTTTATCAGAACTGTCAGTCATTGTTCGTTTGAGACAAAGAAAATCATGGATTGATTTAATTGCTGTCAGTCAACTGCCCTATCTAATCTTTTCTCATCTGGGTTCAAAATAGTAACAAAATCAATATATACACAAATTGAAAGGAAATAACACTTTGGCAAATGAGTTTACTTGAATATTATATTGTTTTAGAATTATAAATATCATTGATTCACAACTGTTCTCCTTCAAAAAGGAAAAAATTTTAAAAATCTAATTGATTTAATTAAGTAAAAGGTAATTCACAATAGATTCAAAATCTGTGTTATTTGATAAACAGATCAGAATTTTCAGTTACATGGAATCCATCCTCATATACAGGTTCAAACATGTTCATACATGATTTCTACTGTAATTTATTTTTTCCTATCAGCTTGTCTTTCCTGAGCTCTTAATATTTTTATTACAACCAAGATTGCACTCAAGAGAAAGGCAAAAGATGCGGAATACATGCATCAAAACAACAGAGCATCAACAATATATTATTAGGTACCTTATTCTAAATTTTCTTAACAATGTCTTGTAAGACTGTGGTCAAAAAACAACAACAACAAAAGAAAACAAACAAACAAACAAAAATAAACAATGCTATAAACTCTATAATCACACATTTAGTCAAAGGACAAACTGTTCAGAAAACCAGAAGATTTGATTCCAGTCAGTACTTTGTATTAGCTAGTCCAAAAAGGAGCAGGGGGAAATTCTGACAATATGTACAAAAGCTGAAATGCACCAAACCTTATAACACTGAATGGTCATAAGCTCAGATAAGAAAGCTCTGAGCCTTCGTTCCATACCTGGATTTTTGCCACATTCCTCTGTGAAATCTGGAGATAATTTATAAAGCCACAGAAGATTTTTCCGTTGCAGTCTTAACTTTCCTAAATCATTTTTGTATGCTTCATAATAACCATCATGTAGACATTATAATTCACTTGATTTTTTGTTTATATATTATATACACTATATGTTTTTATGTATAAATTCATTAGTTGCGGTCACACAAGTTGCATAAAGCTACTCTAATTCCTGACTCTGACAATAAAAGCATAGCTTTTAGGTCTAGTAGCTTTCTTTATAGTTTTGAGTTCAAGTATTCTGAGCTACTAAGAATTCTTTTTTCTTTTTGTAAGGAACTCAAAAGTGTCTATTTGCATTTGAATTTTCATCCATTTGAATGCTTAGATCCATTTCTCTTCCAATTCTAATCAGATTTAGAAAATTAAGTGGGTTTTTTTGTTTGTTTGTTTGGGTTTTTTTCTTTTCCAGAGACATTAAATGCACATCACATCACAGCCTAAGAATTACCTTTCTGTGAAATCACTATTGTGTTTGAGAGAAAATACATTGTGCGCATTTGAAAATAGTGTTCAGATTCTTAAACACTTCTCTAAATGAAATGTTTTATTTAAACAGTTTTCATAACATCTGGGGGAAAAAGAACAACTGGCAGTTCTCTGTGTAAGGAGGATCTTTTGATGTGAACTATTTACTAAACTCATATTCATACAAGTGTTGTTTAGCATTACTCAAAAAATTTGTGTAAACTGATGTTCTGTCAACTCTTACTCAATACGAGTATTTCTGAATGGTTGCTTTTACCACCAACTTGCACTGTTAAAAAAATAAAACCTTGGGTTTTGCTCACAACCATTGCTCTTGAATGTTCTCTAAGTTGTAGGTTGTTGTTTCTGGTTCAAATTCAAAGAACTTGCATGACTGAAAAGAAGTCTGCTATAAGTCCTTTGCTAATGTATGCACCAGAAGGTTATGGGCTTTGGGGCTATTCTTTTTTTTTCCTTTTCTTAGTCTGGTATCAACGTCGAGGTAGATAAAATTAGGTCAAATATTTTGAAATTTAATGTTGACCAGAAGTTTTGGAAGACAGCATTTATTGCCATGAGGTGACCTAGTTGCATTATGGTAGGCATTCATTAGCTGCCCCTATCCAGCTCTCCCCATACACCTTGATGTTACCCTTTTAAAAATGGATATGTTAGATATAATAGCGGGTAGAATGGTAAAAATGTAGATTTCTTAAAAAGAACTCTATTCTACATTATCCAGCCTCTATTTTTGAAATATCATTTCGACTATAAATGTTGTTTTGTGTGTGTTTGGAGGTTTTGTTTAGTTTTCTCACTGTGGCTTTTACATGTGTATCTTTTTTCATGTATAAACTTTTAAACATTTTTACAAGCATCAGAACTGTCAAATAGGAATAACAGACCAAGATTAAATCTGTTCTTGTTTTTTGTTTTCCTCATGTTAAAAAACAGGCAGTAGAAATAGACACTTCTGTCCGCTTCAGAAAATTTTTATTCTAACTCAGAAATGTTCCGAGATGATGTCTTTTCCCTCACATAAGATTCTCAGTTCAGAATGTGATGTACTTACAACTTTTACATCCCCAAAAAAGGAATACTACTGTAAACATAAACACACGCACATTTATTACACAACTTCATCTCTAAGCTGGCATTGATATTTTGAATGCTTTTCAAGCCTCTTCTCAGGGCAAGAGTGTAGAATCGCAGAATGGTTTGGGCTGGAATGGACCCTAAAGGTCACCCAGCCCCAACCCCTGCTGGGGGCAGGGCTGCCCCCCACCAGCTCAGGCTGCCCAGGGCCCCATCCAACCTGGCCTCGAGCCTCCAGGGATGGGGCACCACAGCTTCTCCGGGCAGCTGTGCCAGCGCCTCACCGCCCTCTGGGGAAAGAATTTCCCCCTAACAGCTAACCTAAATCTCCCATTTTTTTTCAAAGACTTTTCCTTTCCACCTACAATGAGGCCACAATGAGGTCTCCCCAGAACCCTTTTTTTTTCCATATCGAACAAATCCAGCTCCCTCAATCTTCCTTCACAGGAGAGGTGCTTCAGCCCTCTGATCATCTTTGTGGCCTTCATCCATATCCATTATAGGAGATAAACATGGCTTGACTTCAGGCCTGTATTTATCATTCAGATTTCAACAACAGAAAAATGCTTAGCCTGGTTCATGCAAGCAACAGGTCATGATCTTGTCAGATCTCATTAAAAGAAACTAAACAAAGTTTGGTTAGTACTTCACAGAGAAATCACCAGCACTAAAAAGCAGTGAACAAATATCTTCTAAACATAAAAAATACATTTATGCAAACAATTTAATGTTCACAGTTCTTCTCCCTCAGCCTCTCCCTTCATCAGTAGGATTCTGCCCTTGCTAGTTATGGTCTAGCATCTGCCATTAATGGTTAGTGCAAAGCAGGACTCTTCATGTCAGAAATTGCAAATTCAAATTATATTAGTATAAAACAGCTTATTTTTTTCATCTTTTAGAACTTACCTTTATTTTTTCATATATAAAAGAACTGGAAGCCTGGGAAGTTGTACAATTCCTATTACATGTAGTTACCCAGAATTTGAAGAAAAAAATCCATATTCATGTATCTATTCCTTCATAGCAGCAAGGCAATTTTTTTATTAATATTTATCTCTAGTAATTACTTCTGAGAATAGAAGATTATTTATTTAAAAGACAACTATTGAACTGTAATTTACATGAAAATTAAATTTGAGCTGTTAGTATACTTTTCAGGTTAAAATTTCACAGGTGCATTCCAAGTCTCATTCTGATTTGCATGACGTGCCAAAATCATTGTTTTTTCCTCCATAGTTGAACATCTAGCCAGCCAAGAATTTTGCCCTACTTTTCAGTAATGCAAACAAATTTCTCCTGTAGAGATTTCTTCATTTGCTTGTGTAATTTTCAAATTGTTATAAAACTTGGCTTAACAAACCTGCATTTGTTAGAGTCATATACTATTAATCTTACACTTTGGATCATTTACCAATGTCTCACTCCAATTTGTAGGAGGGAGAGGAGGTACTTTGATATATACTTTTGATGTATACCTGACGTGAGATTAAGAAACAACGGTTCAAATGTCTGACCAGTTTATCACAGATTTTAATCAGGGAGATGGAAAAAGAGAGGACGGACACTATTATGTATTAGGGTGATGGAGGAAGAAAAGTGGGCAATGGAAAAGATAGGAAAGAAGCAAGAATTGCGTGAAGCGGGAACAGACACCACCAGGATCCAGCATCGGCCCTGTTGCACGCCATTCCAATGATCTGAGGCAAAAGCACAGGGGGAGAGCAGCAGCAGCGTGGCCTGCCTTGGGCAACAAGAAGGTGCAGGTACTGGGTAGGTCTGGGAGGTACAGAGTAAGTCCGGGAGGAATCAGCAGGTGTCTGGTAGAAGGCCCAGGGGAGAGTCCATCAGCATGCAGGCATCAGCTTGTGAGGCTTCTGACAGCAGACACCTTTGCTCTTCTTCATGCAGGCATCATGTCGTGAGGAATCTGTTGTCAGAAACCTTTTCGGGGCAGAGCAGCATCTGCATGGCCAGCCTTAGGCAGCAAGCAGGTAGGGTGCAGAGCAAGCTCAGGAGGGAGAGAGGCAGGTCGTGAGGCTTCTCAGGTCAGTAAACCTCATTTCATACTTGTTTGTGCAGCACCTCCTGAGATGGCTATCTCCCTTGAGATAAACCCACACAAAAGACTGCTTCCTGGCCACTAATCTGCAGCTTATCTCTCTCTCGTTGACAAAGGATTTCTTAACCCTGTTCTTGAGCATCAGCAAGCTTTGAGGCAATGGCTAGAAGAATAATCTCTTACACCCAAAGAGTAAGCAGTTGTGAATTCCCCTTCCTTTTACTGGCAAAATGCTCTCCTCTGCTCATTTGGATGAGAATACGTTACTTTCTTGTCAGCCACAAACTGAGATTTCTGTTCTTTTTCCCCTTTCCTTGTCCTTTCCCTAAAATTACCTTTCATCCTGTATCTGCCGTGTCACCCTTTAAATTTGCTGCCAAGCATCAGCAGTTATA